TGCAGGCAGGCAGGCAGGCATACAGACATACAATACAGTACTGGGGTGGCGCTTTTCGCTTCGCAGCTTGGTCCTTCAAGCTTCGAGTGTGACGCCACTTGGGGTCATCCTCTTTGATGTTTGGAATTCGGCTGTTTCCTGTTCAATTCCCCTTACCCGTTCCCGTTCCTTACTTGCTCCCGCCCCCGATTCACATGTTCGCGCGCTACCCGAATTGTTCCTGGGGTGCGTGAGTCGAATTTCAATGCGGACCCAATGACGTGGCGGCGAGAAAGCCACTTTGGGGTTCCGAAAAAAAACGTTGAACCAAAATCGCGTGCCTTCTTCGCTGGATCCTGCGCCGGCAGGTACCTGAACAACCTGCGCGGATCGTTCAGCCGTGAACGATCCCGCATCCCGTTCAACTCTGGCCGATTCCTGACCGCTGGCTGCATTCATTCTGATCACCCGCGCTGTTGTCGCCCGCCTTGTCAACACGACGTGCACCTACCGTTATCGTTATGGAGGAAAGATAGTTTCCTGGTAGTCGTTGTCTCTACTCAGGAATCTGTGTTCCAGGCCCTCTGGGGTGCAGCAGCTCCTGGAAGCCGACGTCGAACCAAAACCTCCGAAGATTGCAGAAGTTCCAAGAAACCTGGCGGCTGCCATCGGTCCCCAACAGCATAAGACCAACAAATAGATGAAGCATCGTAGACCCCGAAGATGCAAGATAATGGAAAGCAACGCCTTATCGTTCCAGAAATTGTCGTTCCTCTCAGTCAGCATCACTTTCGCCCGGCGTTGCGAACCGTTCTCCGTCTGCCGCAGGTCTTCTTGCGGAGGCTCCTCGTTGGAAAACCGCTTGGGGGCCTGACGAATGCCCCTCACGGGCTTTGGGGATCTCTGGAGGCCTTCTGGGCGCCTCTCTGGGCCGTCTTGGGGGTCTTTTTGAACCCCCTTTGGGCCGTCTTGGGTCCCTCTTAGGAACAAGGAAAGGCGACACCAACACCACCAGGGCGAAGAGAGACGAGGAGGCAAGGCGGATTTTCCCTGGTGGTGTGGTCCCCCCTCTCGGTCGATACATCCCCAGCCTCCAGCTCGGGGAGGCACCGTGGACCTCCTCGCTGGAGGTGGGCCCCAGGTGGTGTTGGTATGGTTTCTCCTCCCTCCGACTGTTGGGCCGTGCTGGGGCCTTCTTGGAGAATCTGGGCCCTCTGCGGACCTTCCTGCGGCCATCTTGGGCCCTCCTAATTAGGGACCTCCCATGGCTCGGGTGGGTCTCTCTTCGGAGTCTTTGGGGGCCTCGTGAGCTTCTTTGGGGCCGTCTTGGGGCAGTCTTGGAGCCCTTTGGGGTGCCTCCAGGGCCCGCCTCGGGGCGATCTCGAAGGCCTCTTGGGCCGTCGTGAACGATGCTACCACGCAAGAGCCGAAAATTCTAATAATTAGCGATTTGTTTCCACAGGAATTGGAAGATGTGTGCCTTTGGGGGGCCCTCCTCTCCTCAAGGCCTCCTGAAGGCCGTGTGAGGCATCTTGGGGACTTCTTGGACCGTCTTGGGAGCCCCTGGGCCGTCTTGAAGCCGTCTTGCGCTTTCTTGGGGCTCTCCTACGCCTCGTCGACCACTCCTCTGATCGCTTTGGGTCTGCTGGGCAAGGCCCGACAAAGCGCCCTGGGAGGCGCGGCAGGACTGGGGGACTTCTTCCAAGGGCGTCCAGAGGGCGCCAAAGCCCCAGGTCCCGCGGGTTCGTTTTAGAGAGGGGGTGAAAGTGTTGTCCCGACCCCCAGGCTTGTGATGAGTAAAAACAAGTATGAGCACACGTCTGTATGTATATAATCATAGATGTTCATATGTGCATACATGCATGCATGCATGCTTTCATGCATATTTACTTACATACATACATACATACATACATACATACATACATACATGCATGCATGCATGCATGCATGCATACATACATACATTCATATGCACACACATTCATGCATACATACATACATACATACATACATACCTACATACATACATGTATATACATATATATATACATACATACATACATACATACATACATACATACATACATACATACATACATACATACATATATACATACATACATACATACACATATACATACATACATGCATACGTACATACATACATACATACATGCTATATGTACAAACATACGTACGTACGCACGTACGTTACACTACATTACGTTACATTACAGAACATTACATTGAACTGCATTGCATTACATTCCTTTACACACATGCATGCATGCATGCATGCATGCATGCATGCATACGCACGTACGTACGTACATGCATACATACATACATACGTACCTACCTACCTACATACATACATATATACATACATACATACATACATACATACATACATACATACATACATACATACAGACAGACAGACATACATACATACATACATACAGTCATACATACATACATACATACATGCATGCATGCATGCATACATGCATGCATGCATGCATACATACATACATGCATGTATGCATATATGTATACGTGCATGCATGCATACATACACACATACATACATGCATGCATACATACATACATGCATACATGCAGACATGTGTGTATCTATATATATATACACACACACACCGCCCCCCACCCCCGGCCCCAGGTCCCACACCTTCCCAGAACAACATCTCGGGAAGGCTCCCGGTACCACTCCCCCGGCCTTTCCGGGAAGCCCCCACAGCGCTCCAGGAGAGCCCAAGACGCCGTCCAGGAGCCCCCAGAATGCGAAAGGATGGCCCAAGACGCTCCCAAGCAGCCCAAGTCAGCCTTCCGACAGCTCTCGAGGCTCCCAGGTGGCCTCGAAGAGACCCCAAGCGAGGTCCGAGAGGCGTCCCAGGACAGCCCGAAGAGGCCAAAATCGTCGACTTCCATTGGTTGTTTCAATGTTTTTGGCTTCTCGCGTTTTCGAGCTTCCAACGCTCCAAGAACGCCGAAGAGCCGCCCAAGACCGCCCCCAGAAGCCCGAGAAGAGCCCACGAGAGCTGCAAGAACCCTCCAAGACCGCCGCTCCAAGAACGCCGAAGAGCCGCCCAACGCCGAAGAACCACCCAAGAAACCCTCAGGACGGCCCCAAGACGGGCCAAGAAGGCTCCAAGACTGCCGAAGAGGCGCCCAGGATAGCCCCAGACCACCCCAAAACAGGCCCAAGACCAAGAGCGGGAGCATGAGGCTTCCAGAGACCTCCGAGAGGCCTCCGGGACACCCCAGAGGCCTCCAACACACCCCCGATTCCTGAGAGGCCCCAAAAAGACCCCGACGAGACTCTAAGAACAGCCCACGAGAGCTGCAAGATCCGTCCCGAGATAGCCCAAAGAGGGTAAAATCGTTGATGCCAGATGGCCTTTCTAATGTTTTTCGCCTTCTCACGTTTTCCCGCTTCCAACCCTGGAAGATCGAGGATTTCGGAAAAAAGAAAGGAATTCCAAGAATTCCTTCTTTTTTTCCAAAGTGGACTCCTACTCGGAGATCCCACACATCCCCTGACATCTGGCCACTACCGCGCCTCCCGGCTTCCCGGGGGGCCCCCAAGACGCCCGAGAACAGCCCAAGACGACCCCAAGGAGCCCCAAGAACATAAAGAACGGCCCAACACGCTCCCGCGCAGCCCGAGACACACTTCCGACGGCTCTCCACGCCTCCAGGAGGCCTCCAGAACCCCCAGGGGGTCCGGAAGATCACACTCCTGAGGGGCCCGGCTACAAAAACCCGCGAGGCACAAACGAAAAACAGCGCCGAACAGCGCCGAGGAACTGCAGAAAAGTGGCAACTCTTGCACAACAGACCACAACTCAGACCCCCCTCACCTCCCAAAAAAGAACACAGGAAGCCTTTGAGGGCCCCAAATCGTTGAATACCTAGAAAGGAAATGAATAATTTCTGCGTTTCCGCACTTACCTTTCTATACGATTCCGAGGCTTGCGCAGGGACTCCAAGGGAGTCCCTGGACGCAAGAAGCGACCACAATGATATTACACGAATTAGCCGATCAAGCCTAGCTAGAACTTGAGTGCGCGCGAAGCGCGCGCCATGGTTCTAGTACATACCTCCCTACCTGCCGACCGACCGACCGACCGACCGACCGACCGACCGACCTACCTACCTACATACATACATACATACATACAACCTACCTACCTACCTACCTACCTACCTACAGACAGACAGACAGACAGACAGACAGACAGACAGACATACATAGATACATATGTAAAGAGAGAGAGAGAGAGAGACAGAGAGGAAAACAGAAAACACATAAGACATAAAGAAAGCAATGAATGAAGGAATAGAGAAAGAAAGAAAGAAATAAAGAAAGAAAGAAATAAACAAAGAAAGAAAGAAAGAGAGGTGTCGGCCCGCTGGCCGAGCTCGGCCGACCAGGGCGGGGGGCGAGGGCGAGGACGAGGGAGCAAGAGATGGATGCGCAACACGAAGCAGAAGGGGTGGCGGGGCGGAGGCAGAGGGAGGAGGGGGCATCATGCAGGGGGGGAAAGGGGGGGAGGGGGGGGGGGGGGGGGGGGAGGGGGGGAGGGGGGGGGGGGGGAGGGGGGGGAGGGGGGGGGAGGGGGGGGGGGGGGGGGGGGGGAGGGGGAGGGGGGGGGGGGGGGGGAGGGGGGGGGAGGGGGGGGGTGGGGGGGGCCATCATGTAGGGGGGGGAGGGGGGGGGGGGAATGGGTGGAGTGGGGAATGGTCCATTCGCGAAGCGAAAAAAAATGAATGAAGAAGGGATGCGGCCTCTGGCTCGTTGCTCCGACAACGATGAAAGCTCTAGCCAGAGCCCATCCTCGATCCTGTGTAGATAATCTTGCCGAGCGTTATTGGTTGGCTGCGGAGGAGGAGGAGGGAGGGGGCGGGAGAGGGAGGGGGAGGGGGAGGAGGAGGGGGGGGGGTAGGCGAGGAGGATCCTGCCTCCCCTCCCTCCCCTGCCGCTGCTCCCAGGCCTCTACGAAGATGCCCTTGCTCCCCTCGTCCTTCCAGAAGCTGGATGAGCGCCTCTGGTGCCTGGCCAGGCGGCGCCCCGCCGCGGGGGAGGCCCTTGGAAGTGCCTGTGCCGAGGAGGCGGCGGTGGTATCCCTGCCCCTCGCCCTCCTCCTCCTCCTCCTCCTTCTCCTCCTCCTCCTCCTCTTCCTCCTCCTCCTCCTCCTCCTCATCATCATCATCCTCCGCCTCCTCGGTGCTGAAGTCCCAGGGACAGTGTTCTGGCACGGTTCAGGATCATCAAAACGCAAAAGTAATGGTGACTCGCGGCGTTGACGTCCAAGAAATAGTGTTCTGGCACAGTTCTGAATCCTCAAGCGGTTGTCTTCCCCAACGGGGCACTCCCCTGAGTGAAAATGAATATTGTAGGGGCTTATGAAGAGGGAAGGTGGAGGAAGGGTTTGCTGCAACATCGTTGAAGTGTCTTGGGTCCGCACTGGTCCTGCTCCTCCTCATTCCCCTCCTCATCCTCATCCTCCTCCTCCTAATCCCTCCTCCTCATCCTCCTCCTACTCCCTCCTCCTCCTCCTCCTCCTCCTCCTTCTCCTGCTCTCCTCCTCCTCCTCCCTCCTCCTCCTCCTCCTCCTCCTCCTCCTCCTACTCCCTCCTCCTCCTCCTCCTCCTCCTCCTCCTCCTCCTACTCCCTCCTCCTCCTCCTCCTCCTCATCATCTTCCTCCTCCTACTCGGTGTTGAGGTCCCCAGATGGCACGATTCAGGATCGAACGAGGTGAAACCAAGTCTCTGCTCAAGCTGGCACCGAAGCTTAGAGAGAGAGAGAGAGAGACCAAACAAACAAACAAACAAACAAACAAACAAACAAACAAAATATGAAGGGATACGAAGAAGGAGGAGGACAAGTGAGAGAGCCTCCTCATCCCAGCTCCGCAGCTGACGGCTCAACACAGACGTCCTCGATCCCTCTGCGCCCTCCCTCTCCTCCGATTCCTCCGCGCGGCGCGCGCCCGCGCCCGCCGAAGAGGGGCCCGCCTCTCGGCGGGCGGAGCGGGCGAGAGACTCCCCGCCGACCTCGCCGGCGACGCTGCAGCGGGCCGGTCCTGGCCCGCCAGCCGGGGGAGCGGTGCTGCTCGGAGGGCGGCCTTGATGGGCCCGTTTTCCACCACCACCACCATGAGCTGGGCAGGAGGAGAGCGAGGAGGAGGAGGAGGAGGAGGAGGAGGACGAGGAGGAGGAGGAGGAGGTGGAGGAGGAGGAGGAGGAGGAGGAGGACCCCCTCCCCCCCAACTCATGGTGGTGGTGGTGGAAGACAGGCCCATCAGACCTGGGACCACGTGACGGGCAAGGATCATCAGGGGAGCGAAGCCACAAAAACGTATACACGGGCGCCCGCCGACGAATGTAGCGTGTGCCTTCAGGAAGGGGCGGCGGTGCACAACGTCGCCGGCTCGCAGCGGTGATTTGCACACCGCCACCCTCCCCTGAGGCCAAGGAACAATACATTGCAGGGTGTCTGTGTCTATACCTTTGTGGCGGGGGGACTGGCACAGGGGGAGATGCATCTACCTGAAATCGGCGATGCATCGTCGACAGATCGGCGACAGGCCCCCGATAGCGAAACCGCACGTTCCTGGGCGGGTGGGGCTATCGGGCCCCTATCGACGATGAGTGGGCGATTGGGGGTCGACGCCTTGCCCCCGACAACGACAACTCAAAATCGGCCCTCAGACCCCTCCCAGGGTCCAGACGCACCAGTTTCCCGAGCTGCGTCCAGCCGTGGCGAGGAAGGTGGGCCCGAAGGCCAACTACCGTTATCTCAACTCGCCCACCTCTCCTTGGAGCTCCTGAGCCCCCAATGAAGCCTGCCACGTCCTCCTTCTTTCCCACCACCCCACCCCCCTCAACCACAAAGATCGAGACTGCTTGGTTGCTTGGCATTTATGTGCGCGCTCGGCGCCCTCTTAAGCCTCTGAGGGGCCAACCGGAAATTCCTGCAGGCTTCCATGGGGGACCCGTCGCATCGATGGATCTCTCGATGCCCGAGGTTTAAGGACCGAGGTTCTGAGGGCCCTCCTTGGGCCTCCAAAACCCTCTAGATCTGTGGATGCCACGACAATGGACAACCTAACAGTCCTATTATTGAATCTAAACTGTGCTTAAGATGTCGGAAAATGTTCGAGCAATGTTTCAAGCATGTGGTTTACATGTCTAAAACATGTTTAGCACATGTTCTAGACATCTGGAAATGATTTGGCAGCATGCTTCCTCTCCGTTGATCGTCCTCCACAAGTCTGGGGGCCCTCCTTGGGCCTCCAAAGCCCTCCGGATCCTCTGGAAGCTTCTGGCATCGGGGGGCCGTCGGAGGCATCCGGCGGGCGCTGGGCGGCGGACCCCGTCGCATCGACGATCGCTGTCGGAGGGCATCGAAGCTGGAGGGTCCTAAAGGGGATGGATCGGCGGTGGACAGACCTCCCTTTAGTAAGCCTCCCTTTAGTGAAAACAGCCTGGGGCCGAAACCGACGGACCTGGACCCGCAAAAATGACGGCCGCGACGCCCTCCCGCGAACCGAAAACGGCCGATTCACTTATCGACGTGTCAGGAAAGGAGGTCTGTCCACCCCCGAATGGAAAATAAGAGAGTCAGGGCACCCTTGGCTGGTCGGAGGAAGAGGAAGCGGAAATGGGGGAGGGACGGGAAGAGAGAGAGAGGGAGAGAAAGAGAGGAGGACAGGGGAGAGGGGGAAGAGCGGGGAGGCAGGAGAGACTACGAGGACAAACTAGGTGTGCTCGCGCCTCATCTGACATCCGATGCCTGACTCCCATCCCTTACCATTGCGCTGTGTTTGTTCTGTCCGCGGACGCGTGCCATAGCCGGCCTGCAACTCAAGCAAAAAGACCACATCGTGTTACGCTCAATCGGAAGTGGGGAGCTGCGCGCACAGGAGGAGGAGGAGGAGGAGGAGGAGGAGAAGAGGAGGAGGAGGAAGAGGAGGAGGAGGAGGAGGAGGAGGGGGAGAAGAGGAGGGGGAGAAGAGGAGGAGGAGGTGGCGGGTAAGCAGGAGGATGAGCGGGAGGAAACGGACGAGGACGAACAGCAGCAGCAAGAACTGGAGTGGAAGGAGCGGGAGGAACGGGAGGACGGGGTGAAGGCAGAGGAGGGGAAATGGGGGGCGAGAATGATGGAGATGGACTCGGACACAGAAAAGTGGCCCGCATTGGGGCGAGAGCGCCACTCGGAACGACGGGAGCAAAGCGCCGATCCGTAAATGAGGCCCACGCTGCGGCGGGAGCACTCTTTTGAAGCACCGAAAGCCATCTGATGATAATGATAAAGATAAAGACATTGGAAATCAAAGAAAAAGCTGTGTGTAAGAACAAAGACAGCACGCGGAGAGGGCCAGATACCTTCTGGACGGAGTGGTGAACGTTTTCTTATTCGGCGTTTCGACCATGGGCGGAAGGGGGGAGCTAGACGCGACTGTTTGCGGCAGTGCTTCCTATGGGTGAGACTCCAACTGCCTGAAACAGGCACGAAAAACAGCCATCAAGATCTACCTACTCCATGGGGGGGGGAGGGGTGGAGGGGGCGAGAGCTCGCGCCGATCGGCAACACCATGGATGAGACAACGGCGACGAGCCAGGGGAGAGAGGAAGGTGGTACTCTCAGACTGCTCCGCTGCGAAGGAAGAGGACGAGGAGGGGGAGGAGAGGGGGGGGGGGGAAGGGGAGGAAGGGGGAGGAGGAGGAGGAGGAGGAGGAGGAGGAGGAGGAGGAGGGGAGGAGGAGGAGGAGGGGAGGAGGGGGGGGGGGGGGAGGGAGGGGGCGGAAGAGGAGAGGAGGGCGAGGAGAGGGGGAGGAGGAGGGGGGGGGGGGCGAGGGCCGAGGGCTGGTGGGGGCTCCTCCTCCTCCTCCTCCTCCTCCTCCTCCTCCTCCTCCTCCTCCTCCTCGGGGGATGCCGAGGGCGAACCACGGGCGACGTGGAGCCACGGCGTCAGTGCACCCTCGCGCCGGGGCGGCACCTGCAGCACACCGCGCCCGACGGGGGGGGGATGACAAGAGGATTCCTTCTCGTGGCGGATCACACGTGGACTCCTTGTGCGGTAGATTGCAGGTCGATTCCTGCTGTGTCGGATGGCGAGAAGATTCCTTTTGCGGCGGATTGCAAGTCGATTCCCTTTGTGGCGGATAACAAAAGGATTCCTCTTGTGGCGGATAACAAGTTGATTCCCTTTGTGGCGGATTACAACATGTTTCTTTTTGTGGCGGATTGCGTGGCGGATTACTCGAGAACTGCTTATGCGACGGAATACACATGGGTTCCTTTGCGGAGGGGTACTTCGGAGGAGACCAGGGAGAGAAAGAACGATACAAACAGTACATCAACCAGCAGCACGGCGCACAACTATCTGTAATGCTCACCCCTTCGCTCTGCCTCCCTCCTGCGCTCGCACGTGCCCATGCTTCAAACTCGACCGCGGCGCGCTGGCCGGCCCCAGGGAGCAAACTCCCTCGCGCCACCCGCGGAGGAGGGGCGGACCTTCCCTGGCGCCAGAGGGCACAGCAGGCCGCGCCAACACGACCTCTGGCTAGGATCCCGCCTCCCCCCGAACGCAAGCGAGCGTCACGGCATGGAGGTACTCCTCGGCAGTGGCGCCATCCCAGATGGCCTCGCCGACTGCTCCGAAGAGCAGCTCTGCGCCCTTCTCAAGCTCGTGTTCCTTCGTAAGCGCGTTGCATCCCGACGGGCTCGCAACCTGCACGAGCACATCCTGAATGAAGTGTCATCTAACCCCGACGGCTTATGACAGGATCTGAATGCTTCAATGATATTGAAATCCAAGGACTTGTTGTCGAACCCAGTGAGGCTTATCAATCAACCCAGAAGGTCTTCATGCATGTCCCCTTTCATTCAGGCCCAAATGCCTGCCTGCACCAGCATCGGCGCACGTAGTGGTCTCCAAGCGTAGGTGGGACTCGGCGTCCGATGAAGCACCAGCGCGCACGCCAGCAAACCTTCACGAGCACAGCCTTGTACCTGCCCCTTGGAGCTCTTGCGGTAGTCCCTCTCCGTAACCAACACCACCCGAGAGCAGGCGCTGATGGAGCCCACGCCCAGCTTGCCGCTGGGACTGGAAGAAGAAGAAGAAGAAGATGGCCCCGTCCGAGACTTTCGTGGAGCTATACCTCTTCGTTGGAAGACAAACGGAACCAATACCGCTACTCGACGGACCTCTCCCGGTGTGCGTGCTGACCACAAGGTCGAGGAGAATCCCGCCATGACGGCGAGAGACCTCCAAGAAGAGCAGCGGGCGGTATCCGTACCTTTCCCTCCTCTGCCTCCCTGTGGTCCGAGACTGTGCAGGACCCCCCCGTGCAGCACGGGGCTGCCGGCCTACACGCAAGAGTGACCGTGGGTGAGCGTGACCTTCGGTGCGCGTTTTTTTTTACAAAAAAAGTAAGTTCACGCTGGCTTCTTTAGTTACTTGTCAGAGAAGGTGGTCGGGGGCCATGTCCCGCGCAGTGGGTCGGTTCCAATGCCAGCGCTCCGTCGGGATCCGGGAGCTCCCGTCTGCCACGAGGCGTCCCAGGGGCCCTGCGCGGAAGCGCTTCCCTCAGACTGAGCGGCGGGGCAGGAGCACGAACATTTGATGCGCGGCTCTTTGGGGGCCGCGGGGGGACCGAACGCGAGCGCGCAAGACGCCACCACCGCTTCGCGTTCTGCGTTCAGGGGGCTCCCGGTGGGCCCGCACCAAAGGTCACTCTGGCGAAAGGTCACTTTTACGTCTAGTCGACCAGCACAGTCGGACCTAGGCCAGAAGAACATCCCTCAAGAACACGAAACCCTCCGCTGGCCCAAACGCACAGAACATCCGAGGGCACCCTCCCCCCAGGCTGCACAAGAGCGTCCAACAAACACGAAGAACGCTAGGGCACCCTCCCCAAACCGACCTCGATCCTTCACCGCGGTCCGACTGTACCGCTTTGCGTTCAGCGATCGGGGGACACCCTCGGGCCCGCACAAAGTTAGATGCTCATTCTGGGGACCTTCCTGGAGCCACTCGCTCCACTCGTGCGTCGAAGCTGCGTCGAACCTGAGTCGAACCTGAGTCGAACATGAGTCGAACCTGAGTCGAACCTGACTCGAACCTGAGTCGAACCTGAGTCCAACTTGAGTCGAACCTGAGTCGAACAGATCCATTAGGTGGCCCCCAGGAAGGTCCCCAAAACGAGCATCGAAACAAAGGGTCACTCCGGCGAAAGGTCACTCCTGCGTCTATAGTCGACAGCACCCCCAGGCGCCGACACCCCTAACTATATCGGCACCCGCGCCGGCGGCCCCTAATTACAGCAGCTGGGCCATCGGCGGCGGCCTTATCCGGCTACTTTTGCTCCCGGCAGGCGCCTCCCGGCAGCTCGGGTTGCGTACGAGACCGATGTTGAATCACAGCAGCGATTCGGCCTCTGACTTTCGTCCTGGGTTCGGTTTAGTGAAGTGATGAATTTCGGGGTCCTTACGTGGGAAAAAACATCACTTCACTAATCTGGGGCCCCTGGGGCCTCAGCGGGCCCTGGGGCCCAAAATTAGTGAAGTGATGGTTTTCGGGCCTCGGTTTGCGGACGGCCCAGCCGGACGGAGCGGAGCGGAAGCGCCCTCCGCGCTGGTCTGGAGCAGCGGCGCAGCCGGCACCCAGGGGCCTTCTTGCTCCGGCACGTCGCCCGAAGCCCGACGGGGGCGGCCAGCCCAGGCAGAGCACTCTGAGAGCTCAGAGAGTGTCGAGGTGCTTGCCACGTCTGGGCAGGATTCTGGGGTTCCCAGGTTGGCCACGCGCGCACGGCGCGAGGTCCGGGCAGAGGGGAAAGCACGCGCCGCCTCGTAGCAGTGGTCCCGCTGGCAGCAGGAGGGGGAGGAGGAGGAGGAGGAGGAGGAGGAGGAGGAGAGGGAGGAGGAGGAGGAGGAGGAGGAGGACGACGAGGACGAGGAGGAGGAGAAGGAGGAGGAGGTGACGGAGGAAGGGCTGGGAGGTGGTAATAGGACGAGGAGGAGAAAACGTAAGAAGAGGGATAGAGAAGGAGGGAGAAAGAGAGAGAGAGAGAGCGAGAGAGCAGCGAGCGAGCGAGCAAGATACAGTCAAGACGAGTTAACTACAATCCCCCACAGGGAACCCAACCCTAAAAGCCACTGAAACTTCTGGGCCCTCGGCCGAATTCCATACTTCTCGGCGGCTAACGAAGAAACTCTGCGTACCCTGCGCCAGGCGGAATCTTGATCTTGATCTAATATAAGAAAACGTAGCACGGCTCATCCACATTGGTGCCTTGGGCCTTCGGGCATGCGCTCCAAAATGCGCTGGCGCCCAAGAGACCCCGGGTGCACTGCCATCCGCAGTTTCTTCACGACTGCTGAAAATCTCGACGCCGATCGCAGCCCAACGAAACCCAGAGCACCTTGACAAAACGTAAGCAGCATACTGCACAAAGGACGAAAATGAGGGGAGAGGAAGCCCCGGACGGAAGTCTCCCGCTGTCTGGGGAGGCCTCCCGAAAGTTTACAGGGCGCCCAAAACGCCCACAGGCCTCGAACCTCGATCCCCCTCGATCCTCCCTACGTCCGCCTTGAGACGAAGGCAAGATGAGGACAACATCGGATGAGGAC